CGACCTGCCACCGCGAGGAGGCACAGCATGGCTCTCGCCTGGTGTGCTTGTTGTCTGATTCCTCACCCGCCACCACAAAATGGGCAGAGAAAATGATGATGGAACAGATTTCCAATGAAACTTAAATATCTTTTCAGCAGCTACATTATGGTTTAAGGCAATGATCATTTGGTCCATCTGGCAGGAAGGCAGCCAAAAAATGTATAATTACATAAAATATGTATTTACATCCAACAATCATTAGCAGTGAACTCTTTCTAAAGCTATACAGCTTTGAGGTGTTGGCTAGCGCTATTAACATTAGTAAGACATTTAAGAAGGTGTTTCCTTTCATCCCAAATTTATTTAAACTTTGAGTCATTCCTTTGTTTTTATTTTTTAAATTTTATTTTTTTGAGAGAGAGTGAGCAAGACCACAAGCGGGGGGCCAGTGGGAGGTGGGTAGAGGGACAGGCAGACTCCCCATGGAGTGAGGAGCCCTTACACAGATGTGGGGCTCAGTCCCAGGACCCTGAGATCGTGTGACCTGAGCCGAAGTCAGATGCTTAACCAACTGAGCCACTCAGGCTCCCTGAGTCATTTTTTTTTTAAATATATTTTTTAAAGATTCTGTTTATTTGAGAGAGCATGAGCAGTGGGGAGGAGCAGAGGGAGAGGGAGAGGAGCAGCAGGGAGCCTGCTGCCAGGCTCAATCCCAGGACCCTGAGATCATGACCTGAGCCAAAAGAAAGACGCTTAACCAACTAAGCCACCAGGAGTCCCTCCAAGTCATTCTTTTAAAACATATTTTTGTGCATGTTTTACAATGTACATGATATATTGGCACAGAAGTATACATACAATGGGAATACATTACAAAGTTGTTTTTTTTTTTTAAAGATTTTGTTTATTTATTCGACAGAGAGAGACACAGCGAGAGAGGGAACACAAGCAGGGGGAGTGGGAGAGGGAGAAGCAGGCTTCCCACGGAGCAGGGAGCCCGATGCGGGGCTTTATCCTGGGACCTGAGATCACGACCTGAGCCGAGCCAAAGGCAGACACTTAACGACTGAGCCACCCTGGTGCCCCTTTTACAAAGTTTTTTTAATGAATGGGTGTGTAATCAAAGTTAGTAGCATAAATGCATGAGGTTCACATTTTTTGTAGTATTATTTTAATCACACAATTTAAATGTCTTATGCAATATCCCGTTACAGTGTCCTTGATGTTAAGTCACATTTAGGTGACTTTTCCAGGTTGAAATGGAACAAAGTAAAGTAGAATGGAATTAATCGAATTATGGAATCAGTCGTCGGTGAAATAGATGTTCAATAACCAATATCCCTGGAATTTAATAATTTAATAATAAAGGAATTGTAATTCAATTCATTTGTGGGGAAGCTGGGTCTAAATCAGAGATAGGCATTATTAAATATTCTTTAAGAAGTGCTTCTTTAATAATTTTGAGGACAGATAAGAAGAAACCAAGTTAATTGCATTTTAGCAAATCTTTTAAGTGCTTTCATTTAACAGCTGAGAATTATTTATCATTACTCTGTTCATTGTTTGAATTAAAATTAATACCAAAGTGGTGCTTGAGAATGGTCTTTTTCCTTTTACATTTAAATAGGCTAGACATTTGCTTTGTTTATACCATTAATTTGTTTTCACACAGGCTGTGAAGGTAAACCATCAACTCACAATTAATTAGTGGAATCAAAATTAATGAGGTTTTACTGTATTGGGCTATTTCCACTCTAGGCCAGTTTTCTTCACAGGAGTTGTACTAGCATTTTTTTGAAAGAAGAAAAATTAGATTTATTTTAATCCATATTTAAAAAGCAGAGAACCATCTTTTCTTGTGAGTTAAGTACCTGTAATAACTACGCTTTCTTGGGCTTAGCAGTATTGATTTTTTTGTTTTGTTTTGTTTTCAGTCTTGATTATTTTGGCTATTTCCAGACTGTTGCTTATTACAGTAAAGCTAGAGTTAACTCTTCAGATGCTTATTTTCATTTACAGGGATGGTATATCAGTTTTAGTTTGGACCAAACATTTTTTGTGTGTGTGTGTGGGTGGGACGTGTCATTTGCCTATTTTCATCATTATTGCACTGTACGAAAGAGGAACAGGACTGTTCTTCAAAGCATGTTTATGAAGTATATGTGTTAGAGTGAATCATGTGGAAATGAAAAGCTAGAGTTTTTTGAATTACAGTTATTTTTTCCCCTTCAGAAAATTACATAGTCTGCTAAAAGCGGACCCTTTGCTATTGTTTAGTATTTGCTTTGTCCTTTATTTTGACTAATAAGAATGATAACATAATATAGACTTTTTAAGTCTTTTCTTGAGGATGGATCACATTTTCTTGAATTTTTGAAGTTAGCCACCTGCATATAAATGGGAGGATGAAAGTTGAAACTTCTCCTGGGGAGTTGATACCTGAAGGTCAAGTTCCTCATAGGAATGGGGATGAATGTCTGCAGTCCTCTCTCTGCTAGGTTATAAACCAGTAAAGAATACTGGTGAAAATTCACCTGTTGTTGAATAGACTTCACCCTAACTCATGCCCCTTTGAAATGGAATGCCAAGAGTGCACGTGGACACTAATGAGGTGACTGTGGACTTTGGGGGCCAGCGAGTCAGCTAGTGAGGGATGTGGCATCACTTAAGCATTAGCTCATTTTAAAGATGAGGAGCTTGTGAGTCAAAGTGGCAGAGTCACAAGTAGTGGTGTGGGTTGTGTGCGGGAGTGCGGCAGATCGGTGCCTGATTAAAGGACGTGGACAGATGAAAAGAAATGTTGTCTAGGAGGAAAAGATCCCTGCAAACATTTATTCCCTGTGATGAGAGAAATAGATAAAATGACCACTTTTTCGCAGATTGATGCTGCCGAATGGTAATAGTAGTAGTAGTTAACCATTAATATGGCAACCATCCCTTTTTGTGAGTTGAATGATGGATATATTTGATAAATACAAAGTCGTTACTAATGGTCATCCAAAGCATCCATTGTATTAAACTTTCTGTTATCTTTGGTTAGCAATGTATGTCTGGTGGAACTCATAAATATTTTATATGGTCTGAAATAAAGGCATCCCAGATATATTTTCACCTTTTTATTCTAACATTGCCATATTTAATGATTTTTTTTGTAGTTTGCCACTTTATTTTGATTTATTGCTTAATTATAAAGCTAATTTTTGTGTGTGCCATGGTCAACTACCCCTCAGTCCTTACGTCTTTTTAAAGGAAGAAATCATGTTTTATGTTATAGTTGAACGCTTATCAGGGAACATGAAATAAGCTTAAAAAATGTTTAGGAAAATTCTATATGATGTTTTAATAAAGGTTCATAACATGATCTTTCTGAACTTGGTTTTTTAACTTTTAAAATTAGTAAACACCTGCTATGCTGATTATAATGTTTAAATCAGTGTATAACAAAAAATACAAAGAAAGCTAACACAGAATAAAAGGTGGTTAACATACCTGAATTTAAGAACAAAGTAGATAGTTAAATCTTACTTTTATTAATGCTCTGCTTCATTCAAAAATTGATTTTAAGTTGTTTACAAAAATAAACATTATTCAGTAAGATAAAAATAAAGCTAAACAATGAAGAGAAACAGAGAAAAAAGTAGAGGAGGCTGAGTCTGCATTGCAGAAGTGCATGCCCCTCCCTCGTCAACTGTGATGGGTAGAAAAGTCAAGCCTAGGTGTCTTAGTAGCCAAAATGTGAAAGGAACCAGTTACAGCAGCTTTCTCCAAAGTGTATTCCTCCAAAACTCGGTCTTCTAGGATCACCTTGGTCAGATAAACTTCAAGATGAGTGATACTGTAGTCCCTTCATAGAATTCCATTCCCCTTAGCACGTTAAAGGTTCTTAGAAGTTCTGTGGATAAAGTCAACAACGGTAACTTGTATTTTCTTTGTACATTTGGCCACCCCCACCTCTTTTCATTTGATACCCCTGTCAGCATTTCCCATTCAGTGAGATGTCGTAATCAGTGTGGGATTGTTCTTTAGCTAAAACTGTTTGCTTAGGCAAAGCCCAGCCCAGTGAGGTTTGAGAAGTTTCTCCTTTGGATCCCATTGAAGGGATACTGTGTATATAGTGCAGTGGGCCTCATCCCCAATATTATTCACAATATATCCAGTGATGTGTGGCTGTTTTCACATGGTTTCACCTCAGTATGAACTGAAAGCATAATCCAATAAATCACTAAAATGTTAAGTTTTAAATAGCTTATAAATTGTCTTAAAAATTTAAATACCTTAATTTTTAATTGGGTTGTGGACTCCCACAGTTCTCTGTTGCTAGTGAAAATCTTTACCGTCTTTGATTATTTATATTCCATCTTGTTTTAAAAGGAATTGAAGGGCACAAACTAGAGATGAGCAGAGAATGCACAGCAGAATGTTTAATTGGCTGTTGTGGGTTAGGGGAGGTGGTGCACCTGCTGACATTACAGACAGAAGCTGTGAAGCACGTCTACACATAATACCAAGTATCTCTGCCTCTTGAAAGGCATGATTGTGGCTGAGGAACCAGGAGGGTATTGTTTTTGAGCAAAGGAGCAGGGAAGAACATGGGTCCAAAATGGCAGAGTCCCAAACAGAAAACAGCACCGCAGAAACCCCGCTGTAGCCGCTAACAAAGGAAAGTTCACACTGTGGAAAGAGAAGGCATAATAACAGATCAATTTTTTTTCCAGCTTCGCCTGCGCCTGTACAGCAATCATGTTAGTAAGGTCATCTTCACATATGAACAGCAGATTTTCTAAGGCATCTTTTCCATCTTTAATCTAGGACTCATTTAGCATCTCTTAAAATGTCATGATTGAACTGGGTGTTTTATGTATAATAGGAAGGAACAAGTTTTTCAACACAATCTAATACTGTGGTTGGTTTTTAGCAGCAGTGAATGTATAATTAATTTTGGTTTACATTATTGAGGACCAGGTCCATTTTCTTCTGAATTTAATCTAAATATAATTAAGGTTTATTCTTCTTTTTAGGCAAGAGTGCAGCACTGCATCTGCTCTGTAGCCAGTGACCACTCAGTGGGGCTTCTAAGTCTGCGAGAGAAGAAATGCATTATGCTGGCATCTCGTCATCTCTTCCCTATTCAGGTCATCAAGTGGAGGCCTTCTGATGATTACCTGGTAGTGGGATGTTCAGATGGCTCTGTATACGTCTGGCAAATGGATACTGGTAAGAACAGGTGTTAAGAGACAGGCTAGAAAATTAAATGGGTGTATTTGATTTCCTGGAAATTAATCTTTTATGTGAGGAAGAAAGACCTAAAATGTAAAAAGTTGTTGCTTTTACTTCTGATCACTGCTTTTTCTAAATGTTCTCATTATTGTCAACAAAGAACTATTTAAATGTCCTCTCATTTGTTGTACTGTGCCAAATACTTTAGAGTAGCTCACTGATCTACAAAGGAATGCAGTTGAAGACAATATACAGATTAGGACAGGCAGCACAGACAACAAAACCTAAGTGATTTCTATATAATTCATGAGGTAAATTGTGAGCAAGATTAAGGAAACCATTTTTGTGTCAAGTTCAGAAACAGTGGAAGAAGAAAAAATTCTCTTTTATATGAACAGCAGAATGGCAATATGGAGCAGTTAATTATAGGAGGTAATTGAAATGAAAGTTTTAATATCTAGAGAGAACGTTTAAAATTTCAAGTTTCAGAAATTTTGCGTTTGGGGCGTAATCTAGAACAAGTAAGGTGTGGCTTAGAAGTACACACAATTATGTATAATGTTTATACATAGAATCTTATGGTTTTCCCTGGGAAATTTTTCAGTGTGTAACTAAATGTTTACTGCTTTAGGCTTTTCTAAACACATTTTATTCTACTTTTACCCTTTTAAGTCATCTTCTATGAGTGATGAAAGCCCTAGCTGTACTAAATAATACTTCTACTAATTTGTTTTTCTTTTCTTCATTTCTTTGTTTTAAATAGTCCTTTTCCAAATCAGGCTATGTATATATTTCTGTTTGTTCTGTGGTGGAGTAGGGAGTTCTGCTAATTCTTTCTGTAACAAGTAGTCACAGTCTCAGGGAAATGTTATTTATAGTCCTTGTTTTAACTGGTAGTATGTAGGCAATCTTGCCAAGAGAGAACATTCTTGAAGAGTGTCAAACTTCTTAGCTTTTGCCTTTAATTTTTTTTGTCTGATTATAAAAGAGGGTCATGCTCTCTGTTAAAATTAAAAGCACAGATTAGAAGAAATGAACTGATATCTCATTGTTCAATAGTAAATATTAACATTTTGTCATATTTCTCTCTGGTCTTATTTCTGTGCATTTTTAGAAACAAAATTGCTGTCATATTACATATGTAACTTTGTCTCGTTTGTATTCCTTTTTGTGATATCCTGTCTGGCAACCAGCACTGTTTCATGTTTGCTGGTTTGTCTACCCCACAAACTAAATACGCCCAGTTTGTGTTGCTCTGGAGTCAGACTGTTTGGTGTGGATTTAGGATCGACCATTTGCTAGCAGTGCGATCTGCTGCAACTTACTGGACTTTTGTCTCTCAACTTACTACTCTGTAAAATGAAGATCATAGTAGTTCCTATTTTATAGTACTGCTGGGAGAATAAAATGAGATAATATTTACCTGGTGTATAGTGGACATTTCTAAGTGTGTGTATGTGTATGTTTGTGAAATCGAAATTTGTGTCTATGCACGTGTTTATATTTGCTATTAATGTTATTTAACAAATATACTGCTTTCCTTGTTACTTTGTTGAACTTGGGAATGTGATTTTACCTACATTTTGAAATATTTTAAAACTTTGAGGATTAATGTTAAAGAAAGTAAGTTCTTACAGCAGTGACCTTCAGAAAGCACTATTTTAAAATACTATAAATATTAAATTAACAATTGATTGACAATTAATAAATCAAGCACAGATGTGAGAGTATGGTAAACTTGTCTAGGACTTTTAAAAATTAAAATAATATTCTAAAGGAAGAGAATATCATTTTTCTGAATTTTTCAGATAAATAATTGATACTTGACTACAGGTACTTTAAATACATTTGTAAAGAATATGAATATGAAATTCTTTACAAATGAAATGTTACTAAAAGACAAAGTTATTTTTCCAGTAATTTCCTCAGGAGTTGTTGACAGATAGTTCCCAACTATAGGTGTACTGAGGGATATTACTCTTATAGCCAGTTTAGTGTAATTAAGCCCATTTTAGATTAAACACAATATATAATATTGAAATTTCACAATTATCTTACCTTCAAGAGGATTTAGGTAAACAATCAGTCAGTGTGCCATTTTTAAATCAAATGATAGAGAAGCAGAATTTGTTTTGGATTTAACCAGAATAGGAGGTATACATTCCTTTTTCCTCCTTGCTACTCAGCCTTTAGCTAGTGATATAAAGGCCCCTCGGGAGTGAATAAGGCACATCCTGAAGGTATTGACATTATTTATTTATTAAATTTATTTATTTATTAAATAAATAAAAAATGAAGCCAAATAAATCAGATTCAGCCAAGGTTTGATGTATGAAATGTATTTAAACTGAGGAGACACTTTATCCCGCTTCTTAGCATTTTGGGGATATATTTTTACAAATGAAGATATATTACACTAAAAGTACTCACGCATAGTGTGTAATTTTCTGTTTGCTGTTTTGAATTTTACTGATGTTTCTAGCTTAAAAACACTTAAAAATGTCTTTATACTTTTATGCAGCATTTTCTTTAGTTGTTTTTCCCTTCGAATAGGTAGTTTTTTTGTTTGTTTTTTAAATTTTATTTATTTATCTGACAGACAGCGAGAGAGGGAACACAGGCAGGGGGAGTGGGAGAGGGAGAAGCAGGCTCCCCACCGAGCAGGGAGCCCAATGCGGGGTTCGATCCCAGGACCCTGGGGTCATGACCTGAGCCGGAAGCAGATGCTTAACGACTGAGCCACCCAGGTGCCCCTCAGATAGGTAGTTTTTATTTCCAGTATTTATTTCCTAATGAAATGAAGTTGAAGCTAGTAAAATAAAATTTCATTAGAAAGACAGAGGTCCAGAATCTTTTGTTCTTTACTTGTGTCGTCTTTATTATGTCTAGTAACAATTAATAGTGATGTGGAGGCCAGGAAAGTTATTATTCCTTCACATCTTAGATAGTTAGAAAATTAGTCAAATGACTAGCAACAAGATTTGGCCAGCTGGAGCTCTTGACTTCTACTTAGGATCTTATTAAAGGTGGCGTACTGACCTGGGTGGTGGCTGCTTCTGCATGGAGCTGTTCACGGGCTTCAGGGAGCAACTCTCTCATTCTTCACATTTGACGTTCCGAATAGGTGGGAAGAGTTGCTTCCACAGGCCTTTGACAAGGTCAAAATCCTGTCTGTTTGGGAAACAGTGGCATGCTGTACGTAATGACTGATTTTACAAGATGTTCTTATCTCGCCATTAGCAAGTTTAAACAGCATTTTCATGTATCTGTTTTTGTCATATTTGTTACAGAACAAAAGTGATTCTCACATCATAGACCTGTTCCTGTAGAGACAGTTACTAGGTGTTCTTATACAGATGCAAACGCCAGTGGTGCTTGCCAAATATATGAGAAATTAGTGTAGGAAGTTCTGTCCCTTTACTTTGTTATCTTTTTTCTTTATTTTCTGTCTACGAGTTTTCTGAAATCTTTCTGTTTTTGCATTTACTTTAAGGAATATGCATTCAAGTCATTTTATAAAAACTTAATTATCTAATAAAGGGTAGCAGAGAATTATGAACTAATGGATATTCATGTCTGTTGAAAAACCTATAAAGCTTGGATAATCAAAAGCATAAGTGTCAATCAGGTTTTTCACACAAGTAAAGCCTTAGTGTGTGTGTTATACTTGCTTAAGACTTTATTTGCTTGAAATTGTCAATCAGTTTTACTGATTGTAAGATTGCATAAATTTTCCTAAATTCACTGGTAGTATTTCTATTATTTAAACTTCCTGTGCAAAACATTTGCCTAGTAGTCAGTTGATGGTATCTTTAATGGATTTATAAGTGCTATTTGTGTAGTTTGTAATTTCTATAAGTATTTTCCTTTTATAATAAATACTTCTATTTACTTAAATTGATAGTTTTGTCTTGTTACTAAAATTACCAGAGAGAATCAGGAGGTGGTACTTCTGCCCAATCTTTTGTTACTAGAAGGGTTTAGTAGCAAATATTTTGTTCACATTTTGACCCTTTGCCTGCTGTATTTAAGTAAGGTGGAAATTTGATTTTATGTTTCTATTTCACAACGTATGGCTTACATCATTAACATTCCTATATCTCCTATATTTTTGTTTTTCATTCTGTTACAAAAAAATACTATAGGACAGGCAAAGGCACAAAGGATGGAATGGTTAAGAAAAAAATGATACCTTTACAAAATCATAGTAAAACCAGTGTAATCAGAGTTTCTTTTTTCCCTATGGATGAATCACTCGGGAATTTTGAAGGAAGAGGTTGTTACAGTGGAAATATGACCATCTTTGCTACCTTCCCCACCATGAGCCCTCTATACAGTTATTAATTACTAAATCCCTCCCATTAGGTACCCCTTGGCTTCCTTTTTTGTTTCCATAGTATTATTCTAACTTAGGACTATATTTTTTCACACCTAGGCTATCTTTATTTGCTTTCCTGTCTTCTTTTTCTACCTTCTAATCCATCCTGTACTCTGCTGGAAAATTAATCTTAGGAGATGAAACAACAGCAACAACACTTGGTTCATGTACAGTCTTAATGAAAACAAATTTATTTCCTGTAGCCTTTAAGATAAGGCCCTTCACAGTGTGGTATCTTCCTACCTTTGTCTTTCTGTCCATTTCTTTTAGACAGACCAGTTGCTCTGTGCAAACAATAATTATATTCAAGAATAATTAGGCCATTCTCTACCACTTCTTATCTTTTATATCATCCATATTGTTGCTCATGGTTTTCACTCAGTTGGAACTTTTTTTTTTTTTTTTAAGATTAAGATTTTAATTTTAAGTGATCACACCCAGCATTGGGCTTGAACTCACAACCCTGAGATCAAGAGTTGCACACTTCCCCCGACTGAGCCAGCCAGGTGCCCCGGAACATTATTTCTTTCTATTTGCTTATTTGTTTAAATAGTCTCTTTTAAGGAAATTTGAATAATAAAAACAGAGTCTTCCATATTTACCCATGTAGTTACCATTCTATTGCTCTTTGTTGCTTTGCGTAGATCCAGATTTCTATCTGGAATGATTTTCCTTTTGCCTAATATTTAGTATTTCTTGTAGTGCAGGTCTATACATGATGAATTCTTTCAGCTTCTGTGTGTCTGAAAAACTCTTTTGTTTCATCTTCATTTTTAAGATTTTTATTCTGGTTGGAGAATTTTAGGTTGACAGTTGTTTTTTGTTTTTCCTTTTTAAACTCCACTGTCTTCTTGCATTATTTCCAATGAGAAATCTGCTGTCACCCTTAGGTTTGTCCCTCTATACGTGCTGTGTCTGTTTTTTTCCAACAGCTTTAAAATTTTCTTTTTCTCTTTATTATTGATTTTGAGAAGTTGGATTGTAGTTTTCTTTATATTTGTGCCAAGGGTTTATCGTACTTCTTGGATATGTTGGTAGGTGATTTTCGACCAGTTTGGAAACGTTTTGGCCATTATTTATTCAAATATGTTTTCCATCCTTCCCTGCCCTTCCTCTCTTTAGAGACTCTAGTTATGTATTTACTTGGCTATTTGAAATTGCCTACAGATCATAGGTTGTCTTTTCATTTTTAAAATTATTTTTTTCTCTGTGTTTTATTTTATATAGTTTCTATTCTAGATCTTCAAGTTTATTAGTCTCTTTTCTACAATGTCTAATCTGTCATTATTCCCATCTAGTGTATTTTTCATCTCAGACATTGTAGTTTTCATCTCTGTAAGTGTGATTTTGGTCATTTGGTATCTTCCATGTCTCTCTACTCAAACTTTTTGAACATCTGGAATACAGTTATAATAACTCTCAATGTCCTTGTTTGCTATTTAAAAAATCTGTGTCAGTTCTGGGTTGGTTTTTATTGATTTGAATTTTGTCCTCACTATCATATTTTCCTACTTTTATCCAGAATAGCCTGAAGGTGGTTAAAGGGTAGAAGCAGGGAGATGAGCTTTTATGAGATTGCCTCTAGGCAATAAAAGATGATGGATTATTACACCAGAGTGGTAGTGGTGGAGCTGGTGAGGAGTGGTTGAATTCTAGGTATATTTTGAAGGGAGAGTGAACAGGATTTGCTGATAGTTGGATAAGGGGCATAAAAGAATGAGATGGGTAAAGTTGACTCCAAGGTATTCATCATGAGCAACTCAAAGGATGGAATTCATTTCTAGACATTGAGAAGACAATGGGAAAGCAGGTTTTGGAAAGACCAAGAGTTAATTTTTTTTTTAAATACTGAGTTGAATATTAGACATCCAAGTAGAGATGTTGATTAGTAAATTGTGTATATGGGTCAGGAGTTCAAGTTGGGGATATCAGAGTGGGTGATGTAAATTTGGGACTTCTTAGCATGTAGAAGATACTCAAAGTCATGACACTGGATGTATCACCAAGAGGATGCACATGGTTTAGATATATTTCTGTGATGTGGAAGAAACCAGCAAAGGAGACTAAAATGGACTTTCCAGGAAGAAGAAAGTGAAGAGTGTGGTTGCCTAGAAGCTAAGCAAAAAAAAAAAAATGTGTTTCAAGGAGTAGAGAGAAGGAACAAGTGCAGCTGATAGTAAATCATAGTAAAATGAGGACTGAGAGCTGAATATTGGATTTAGCAACATGGAGAGTAGGTTCTGTGCATGTTTGGGGTGAAATCTGATTTGAGTAAGTTCAAAGGAAAATGGGAGGAGAAAAATTTGTAGGTAGCAAATGTAGATAGCTATATAGAGGATGATAAAAAAATGGGATACCAGCTGGAAACAGATACTGAGTCAAGTGTGTTGTCATTTTTATGGGTCTGTGTTGTTTTTTTTTAAACAGGTGAAATAATTGCACGTTTATATGCTGATGGGAATGATCATGTGCTGGTGGGAATGATCTAGTAGGTAGGGAGAATAGATGAAGAGAAAGGGGAGAGTTGCTGAAATGATGTCTGTGGGCAGACAAGAGAGGGATGGGGTTTAAGCTACAAGTGTGTTAGGTAGGCGCCTGGATAGTTCATGTGTTATTATAGAGTAGTGTGAGTGGAGATATGGTGGTGGGAGCTGGTAGAACTTCTTTTCTAATTGCTTCTATCTAAATGAAATAGGAAACAAAACTTTTCACCCAGGTGAGGGCAGGAAATGGAATGTTGGAGATTGGAGGAGAGAAAGGCTATGAAATAATTAACTAGGAAAGTAGGAAAATGAAAGATCTGTGGAAATGTGGTCAATATTAAGGACCCCTTGAGATCAGTGGTCATGAATTTCAAGTGGATCTTTCAGCATGTTCTTCATTCATATCCATCTTCATTGTACAGGTGTGGAGTAGCTGGAGAGTTGGATTCAGCCAAGGTTGGAGTTTGCTCGGCTGGAACAAGGAAATGAGATGAGGACAGAGCTGTGCTTATGAGGACGGACTATGGAATTTTAGTTTATGGGACATAGGGAAATAAGGGGCAGGGCAAGCATGATAGGTGAATGAAATTTTGGAGTCAGTGCTGAACAAGGAATTATTGGGTCATAGGGTTGAAGTAAAGAATGGGAGCTGCTATCGGAGAGTGGACTTTTTGACATTGGGATCATGTTAGGATTTAGTTACTGGTAATGAGAAGATTATAATGTGACCATTGTCTGGGGTCAAGTGTAGGGCAAAATTTATTGTGAGTAGAGGAACTCAAAGAGCTAGGTGATCGGGATGTGTGGAAGAATCATATGTGCTGGTGATTTTCAAACATTTTTGAACTTTTAAATCCTTTTAGAGTATACACACCCTCCTTTTCATACATACACAGAAAGTTTCAGGCAACAGCTCCTCCTTATGCTTTGCCTTCCAAAATACATTGGTCAAGACTCAATGAATTGGTTAGTAAAACACTGATTTGTGTTAATACTAAAATCACCAAGAATTAATTCCAGGACGACTCTTGGAAAGAAAAGAAGTTAAGCCCTTTAAGGAAGGGGAGGGGCAAACTTGAATGGCATGTATATAAATACTCAACATTGGGAATAAAATATGTTGGGGTGTTTGGGTACTAGCTCAAAGACACAATAGAAATCTTGTATTTTGTTGACATTTATGTTTCTGGTGTTCTCTCTGGTTATTTTTCAAAAATTGATTTGTCCTCTTTTAGAATGACTCTGGAGGAATGCTCAGTGGATCAAAATAAACTTCATCTTCATTTCATTGTCCTTATTATAATCTTCAGAAGATTATCTACAAATCCATAGAATGAGACCCTTTAAAACAAAGTATAGAGAAAAGCTGTCTGCATTGTAGGAAGGAGTTGTGCCTTAGCTTAGACATGAAATGCATAGGTGGAGATGAATGGAAAGAATGGCCAAATGAAGAAGCTTTGAAGTGGTCATAAGTTGGAGTAGTAGTTCTTTTCATAAACACCCAGAGAAACATTTGATTGGGTATAAACAGTAAAAGTCAAAAGACATTTGCAGGCGAATAAGTTAGTTTTTTTTCCTGCTTTGTGGAGATTCCCTAGAGAAAGAGAAGCTCCAGGAATTATTAAAGTAGAAAGAATGAGAAGAATAGCAAAATTTAGCTCTTTTGTTTGTGATTGATAGACAACTTAGAGGAAGGTGAAGTCATAGAAACTGGTATGTGTAGTAGAGTAATGGTGTGGAATATCATGAAGATCGTCTTGGAAGCAGACAGTGGAAAAGCCTGGGGGAAGTTGTTGAGGTCTCGGCTCTGAACCTGGCTTTCTTGGGAAGTTGCAGTTGGGGCATTACAGGAGAAGAAACGGCTAAGGTAGTGTTGCCTGGAAGATCCTCAGAGGAGGGAAGCACAAGGAAATGTTTCTGGGAAGCAGAGAGAAAAATACTCCCACATAAAAAACGTCTATGCATTTTCTTTCCTTAAAAAATGACTCAGAGCGGTTATAGTGTTGTGTGTACTAATTGTGAATTTATACGTCTTCCAGGTGCGTTGGATCGCTGTGTGATGGGGATCACAGCAGTGGAGATCCTAAATGCCTGCGACGAAGCAGTGCCTGCTGCAGTTGACTCTCTCAGTCATCCAGCAGTCAACCTAAAGCAGGCCATGACACGGCGTAGTCTGGCCGCTCTTAAAAACATGGCCCATCATAAGCTACAGACTCTTGCAACTAACCTCTTGGCTTCTGAGGCCTCTGACAAAGTAAGTTTTGTGTGTGTGTTCATGTGTGTAGCCCCCATCCTACTCTGTTTCATAACATAGTTTTGGCATGGCTTAAGGAATAACTTTTGGGAGACGACATTGATGAAAAATAAGCTTCTAATTTTGTGTAGGTTTGTCCAACATCGTTTTTGCATATTTCAAGTATTTGGCTTTTTTTTTTTTTTAAAGTAGGTTATTCTTACCACTTAAAATATTTTAAAATGATTCCTACGGAGTTAAGGGACTTGAATCTGAAATTAGAGCAAACATTTTTCATATAATCTGTCTTTATGGTTTTCTGACAGTCTTCCTGTCGAAAGATTGAGCACTAGCTAATATCTCTAGGAAGAAAAAATAATTTAGGTACAATTAAGATGTTTCTAATTGTGGCTGCTCATTTTTTTTTAAAGTCAAAGATTCTGATTTTAGTAAGGTTAGGCCATTATCAAGATTTAGGAGGATGTTTGAGAATAGGTATGGCAGAGTTACCCAAGCACTGTAAGACCCAAGCTCAATCACAGTTTCCCTACTGATATGCACATTACGACATCCGTTACTTCTTCAGTTAATAGAAGATTATCCTACGAAAAGAAGAACAAATAATCTCAATTCATTAATGGGTTACTTGTCTTTAGTTTTATAGAGGCTAGCCACTATTTGGTTTGTGGTGTTTATGTTCTGTGGTATTGTTAGAAGTTGCTTGTCTCTGGTAATGTCTAAGTGAAACTTACCGTCCCAGCATTTCATCTGAGTCACACCTTAAAATTCCCAGTTGCATCTAACTATTCATTAGAATTATTAGTAGGTAACACAAGTACTGTTATTTTCATTTTCTTATTCTGGATTCCTTTTTTTTTTTTTTTTTAAATAGTTAGACATGTGGCTAAATAACAAACAGGTTGAAAGGCTCATCTACAAACTTGAAAATTTGCCCATGAATTAGTGGTGAGTGCTGATGACGTAAAATGCTGTAGGTGGTTCCAATGACCCATGTCCTCTAGGAATTGGCAGTAATATTTGATCATTCTGTCTTTCCCCAAGATATTAAATGCTTTTATTGGCTTTGTTGTATTGTATGTTTCATAGATCAGAATTATGAAATACTTCTTCATTTTCTTTCATGCTTTCTGTCCTGTGTTCTGAAGTTTGAATAGAAATCACAACTTAAATGCATTTGCTGTGCTTATAATTTTCTTTCAAGAGATTACATAGATATCCCTAGCAATTCAGTGTTCATAGCGCATTGTTTGATGTTCTGTGTAATTTTAATTTTGTGCCAATTTATAAAATAGCATATGTAAGGGCAAGTATATATGTTGTATAATTTTCAAATATATTTTTTTTCTTGTTGGTATCACCTAGAAATAAAAATTTGGAAACTTAATTATACAGTTGGAAATTAAAGAAAAATAAATGGTACAGTAACATTTATGAATGGCTTTTGTAAGTGGTCATGGTCCATTATGTGATTTTTACAATCTTGTTTGTCCCTGTTTTAATAGCGCATTTTATAGTGCAATTAGTGATAAAAGCACCAGATATCAGAGACACTATACTTATGTATTGTAAAATATATTGCTTGTGAACCTCCTCAGTCTTGCAGCAGTGGTAATTGTTGCCTGGCCTACAAGGAAAACAATTATAGGAGGGGGGAAAGGCTTAGGAAGCTGAGGCTGCAGGAGGGTAATCACTTTATGAAAAATGTATGTTGGCTGGACCATTAGGGATTTCTCTGTTTTCTCATGTTGAATTTGAGGCTCCTTCTGAGGGGAATATTTAAAGAGTTGTCCTCTGCACGGCTTTTTAACCTAAGGAGAAACAAAAGCCACCCAAAGTTTAAAAAAACAAAACAAAACATAACTAAGAGCCTCTCAGTGGTGTAGAACTGACTCTGAGATATGGGAACTAAGTTTTTTCATGGTCTCTCAATGGAAAGTAAAATCTTTATGGGAATACTGTATAGAAAGAATCCCACCTTTTCCTTGTTAGACTGGTGTTAGCAGTTGGGCTATTTGGAAAAAACATATCGTATATTACTAATTTTGTTAATTATGGCAGATATGTAGAGCCTTGCAAACAAAAACAGGGAATTTTTTTTTTAAGATTTTATTTATTTGATAGAGATTGAAAGCACGAGCATGGGGAGGGGCAGAAGGAAAAGCAGACTCCCCACTGAGCAGGGAGCTGGACGCTGGGCTCCATATCAGGACCCTGGGCTCCATATCAGGACCCTGGGATCACGACCTGAGCCAAAGGCAGACGCTTAACGACTGAGCCACCCAGGCGCCCTAAAGATAGGGAATTTATTCTCCTCTGATTCTTTTCTTTCACTAGAAGATCAAGAGGATGTTAAGTGAAATTATTCCTTAGGACTGCATTGAATCTTTGAAAGATGTGTGTATTTGAACCCCTGTGTGTTTCTTTTATGACATATATCTTAATTTCCTTTGTGTTATAATAACTTACATGCTTCTCTGATTCTCCCCACTGAAATTCAGCCTTCTTGCAGGCAGGGATTGTGACTTATTTATTGCTCTTTCCCTCATGACATCTAGTAGCAGCTGTGCAATAAATATGCATTGAATTGGATGATGTGTAACAGAAAGCTCTGAAGGCCTCTGCTTCAGCCTCTTTGCCCAGGTCTTCTCCCTTCCCTCATAGTTGATTGTCTTGGCTTGATGATCAGATCTGTTCCTGTTTGGGAAGCCTTAGATGTGGAACATTTATTAATCACCTTTGCCCTCTGTTCAGTTTTGCATTCTCCCCTGTGGTTTTAGTGAGCGAGGCTGTTCAGGCATAACTCATTCTCCTTCTTTATTATCTCTGTATTGTCAGCAGTCCAACACATCCTGCAGAGTCTGTCAGCGAGTCCCTCCCCTTTACTTCTTTTCCTTATGGCTCTAGAGCAGGGTTTCCCAACCTTAGCACTACTGACATTTTGGGCTGGATAATTCTTTGTTGTGAGGGGCCGTCCCGTGTATTGTAGGATGTTGAGAATCATTTTTCCTGTACCCACTGCATGTCAGTAGCACCCTCTCTTGTCCAGGCGTGACCATCAAAAATGTTTTGAGTTACGGCCAAATGCCCCATGTGGGGCAAAATTGTGTCTGGTTTAAAAACACTGCTCTGGAGAAAAAAAGTTGAGAAATGGTAGAGATCCTACATCCTGTATCTTCCGTTTCCTTTCCTGTCCCCACCCTTGCTTCTTTACTCCTTCTCTGAGGATAGTGAAGCCATCCCCAAACCTATCCTCTCTGCCCCTGTGGCAGAATTAGTTCTTGTGTTCTCTTTGTACTCAACACCTTCCTGATCAGACCTTTCCTTAAATCACTTTACTTTGTATGGGGTATTTTTTTTTTCTTTCTCTATATCTGTCTTCCCTGTTAGATTTTGAGCTTCTTGAGGACAGGAACTGAGTTAGCTTGGAGGAATAGATTGGAATCATATTGTGTAATCTATTTGAATGCAAAGCTGAGGACTTGCCTCAGTGGGTGGAAATACGATATTGAATAGTCTTTTTTTTTTTTTTTAAGATTTTATTTATTTGACAGAGAGAGAGAGGGAACACAAGCAGGGGGAGTGGGAGAGGGAGAAGCAGGCTTTCCGCCGAGCAGGGAGCCTGATGTGGGGCTCGATCCCAGGACCCTGGGACCTGAGCCAAAGGCAGACGCTCAACGACTGAGCTACCCAGGCACCCCAATATTGAATAGTCTTAAAAGAAGATCTCTGTTTAAGAAATATTTTGCCATATCTGACATTTGTATGCCGGACACTTACAAATATTGCCATGGGAAATGAATCGTGAGGCTGTTGGGTTGATACAGTGAGAGGCAGTGGGGACCAGGATATGATTAGGTGGAGGAGATATTGAAGAAGGAATGGCTTGGAAGCTCTTGTGTGGGTTGAATAAATAGGAATGATAAGCAAGAGAAGAGTTGAGACATACAAGTCGATTTCAGAGATCCAAGCCTGGCTAAAGGGAGAATGACAGAGATGTTAACAGATGATACAAACAACTCACAGAATTGGCTTTGAGATTGGTTGTAATAGGAGACATCCGCCTCTTGTTTGTAGTGGTGGGAGATGGGGTGTGTACAAGGGGAGCAAACATCCTCTAGGAAAGAAGTGGCATGAGAGTGAGAGTAGGGGTGGGATTTTTTTTCCCTAAAATAAATGCTGGAGTAAGAGCATGGATTAGACTGTAGTCCATATTTTGGGATGCCTGCTGTCATTAGAGTATTCCAGATATGCTGCGAGTTAGTTATTATCATCCTTCAGACTTGCCAATGATGAACCTAAAAAAACAGTTGGTTAGAACAGGCATTGCAAACTTTTTCTATAAAGCACTAGATAATAAAAATTTTAGGCTTTGTGAACCATACAATCTATGTCACAATGATTCAACTCTGCCATTATAGTGTGAAAGCAGCCACAGACAATAGGTAAATGAACGACTATGACTGACTTCCAATAAAACTTTATATACACAAATAGGCAGTGGGCTGGATTGGCCTCTGGGTCATAGCTTGCTGCACCTGCATCAGAGAATGGCATTATTAATAACAAGATTGTGGATACAGTTCTTCCATGGAATAGCCCTTGCTTGCTTCATTTTTGAAAAGCAATTCAAAGGACTGGTTAAGAACCTGGGTTCTGGTGACAGGCGTATCTATATTTAAATTACATCCCTGTAACTTGCTGCCTGTGGGTGACCTTGGACAAGTAACCTGCAATGGCCTAGGTCACACATATAACCGAAAATGAAATTTTGAAGGAAGCAGAGGTCAACAGTTGATCAGAGATGTGAGAAAACATTAAGACTTGGGGAATAAAAGAGTGGAGTTAGTAATTAGGGAAGTCATTGGTGGTCATTAGGAGAGCCACTTTGGTAGAGTTAGTTGGGTCAGAAATCCTGGTACAATGAACTAAGAATGAGGATGAGATAAAGTAGAGGTGGAAATCATGGAAGACGTTTGCTTTTGGAGGATAAAAAACAGAGT